ACGAATAACGGTACGTTATATGCAGATTGCGACCAAAAACGCGACAGAAAGTCAGTTGGAAATGTACCAGTCAGTTTACTTTTGTTATCGTTTAGATAAATGAAACGATTTCCGACCGATGTTGGTCCAACACTTTACAACACTTAAAAACACTTTACAACTGTGTTCTTAGTGATTTCCATCAGCCATTTTCCACCAATTTATTTTGATTCAATTTTTTGATGGTACTTTTAATAAATTTTAGTTTTCGATCACATAGTGTCGTATTTCTGATCAACTAACGAATATCATACAGTCTTTGACATTTGATTGTATTATCTTAAAGAATTTATCACAAATATGATAACCACGTTACTTCCTTTGGTAACAAACAAAAATACCATAAGCAGCTATCCAGATTAATGGATATAAAGGACAAAATACCGCTCGCTCTTGGTTAGAGACGAACGGACTCGAGACGATGCAGTGCTTCTTTGAGATCGTTGCACAATGAAGAAGCCTTACGCGTCGTAGCGGCTATTCACCGCGAAGGAAGGAACAAAAATAACAGGAAAACTTGGGCGCACCATCCCCCTATTCACGATCGACGAAATATCCGCTATTGTAAGAACCCGTGGTTCTCGATTTATCACGACAATCGTTGTTCGTTCGACGATCTTCGCGACGAGAAGGTCACCCGCAAAGTGAGCGACACTGCGGCTCGTCAAGGGATTGAGAGAAAAAGTAGTGTATTCACACAAGATGCACATAAGTGGATTTTTCGGAATCCGGAGCAGGAATTATCAGCTCGACTGTAACAATATCGAGGCAGTCGATTAATCTGCGAAGATGTTCATCCTTTCAAATGTTTTCGAGCGAATACCAATGAGACGAGCTTCAACAAGAAGCACATAGAAGTATTATCGAAATTCTCTTTCTCGAATGAATTCTGACGAGAATATGTACTTATGTTTTTTTTTTTTTTTATAGTTAAAGTATTTTTATCTATTCTTAAATATCTCTCCATACAAAAAATATATTTATTGAAACATTAGTATAAAATATACCAAAACTTAACATGTGCGACAAGTATACATCTGTTATTTTCTTATTTCTCTCTAATTACAAGATAAAATAAAGAAAGATAAGATTAATAATTGTAAGATAAGATAAGAGAAAGATAAGATTATCTACTAATTGTAATGTAAGATAATTATCAATGACGCAACAACATAATATTATTTTATGTGTACCTAATACACATTTTTTAACACTTTAGAGTTAGAAAAGTCAATACAATTATATAAGTAATAATGAATAAATATTATCTAATAGAGAAATTTAATTAAAAAAAAAGTTACAAGATAAGTTACAAAAATTAAAATAAATGTTGCTTTTGGTCAAATTGAAGTCGTGCTCGTAATTCAAACTTCTCAAATATTGCGTTGATATGCAATTCTCAATGTGTCTTATACACCTGTTATATTGTTCGACTCGTTTTTTTTACCATCAAAAAAATTTTTTAAAAATTCAAAAAGTTTTTATTCAGTACGTCGCAGTTTGATTTTTGTTTCAAGAAAACAATTTGTTTTTTTTTTACTATCGGATGTATTAGATATATATTCGTTTCCACGTGCAGCTGAGCAGTGCAATGTAGAAACATGTGTTTAACACGAGGCAATTTTATTTAGGGGCGCAACGAAGTTGGAAAGTGTAACTATCATCAACGACCAGTGTTTGATGCCCGTTTCAAGAAGAGATATAAAGACTCTTCGATTTCCCCTCCCTCTCTGTCTCCCTCCCTTCTCCTTCTCGGGGGGTACCTGGCACACGTGTAAGGATCCATGGGTCCCGAAAATAGGTCTACGTGGCTAGTCTCGGTGGGGCCAGTCGCATATGTTGGCGCACGCACACATGTATAAAAGCGTTCCAGCGGTAATAGCCAGGTGTTTCAAAGGTGAGGCGATGGGGCGCCCCTCGAGGCGGCACAACAAAAAAATATAAACCAGCTTCCTTCCGATGGAGCTACCTTCCGACGTGGCTGCCACCCGGTACACACATACACAAACCCTATGTGCGTGCCATAATAATTATACAGATTTATTCGAACGAGCCTGGATCGCGCGCAACGGGTTAACAGCGAGCGCGCGAACTGGTTGAGAGTTCCGGAGAATCGTAACGTCGCGCGCATCGGGTATCTCTCCGCCAAGGGTCGAAGAGTCACACCTTTTATTTCCTCGGCTGTAACGTGTAATTTACCACTTTGAGCGGGAAAACAAGAATCATGAGAGAAACCGGCCGTATAAACGGTTGCTATATAAGTATATATATACTTATAATAATCGACGTGCGTATTTTATCTTCGGAACGAGCGTTAAATTTTTTCCACAAATTTTACACAATTGTGATCTTTTTCTAATTATATTACAAATACACGAAAAAGAAGGCCAAAGAAAGATAATTGAGTCAGCGTTCAATGTGTGTTTAATTTCTTACATTTGTCTCGGATAAAATTTATCAGAAGACGCAAAGAAAATTGAATAAAAAAAAAAATTAGCAAATCGCATTACAATTAATCTACTATCAATCTCAACCTGTTCCGCCATCACGTACAGCGTATTTGTATTTCTTTTCGCGGCAGGGCGGAAATGGTTCGCCATTGCGGCGCAACAACATAACCGACGAACAGGCGTAGTGTGTGTGTGGGACCTGCTTCCATTTTATATAGACGCTTATAAAGAATCTTTTCGCAGCAACCTGCGCGAACGCATGATTACCCGTAGTATCGGCGTGAAGGGCGCCGGGGGTTGGTTTGTTCCCTCGTCAAGATTCACACGCACAGTACGCACTACAAGGCGCAAACAAAAGCGGGGACTAACTTAGCGCGCCCAGTATTCCGTATAATTTATCCGCACATGTAACGAAGAAAGAAAAAAAGAAAGAAGTAGAATATTCTTTTTCTTTCTCTCTTTCTCTTTATCGGAACCGCCGTCGGTAGCCTACCAGTATAACCGGATAAAATGCAGGTTCCTCTCAATTCTCTTCTCGCTTTCGCGTGTGTCGATTTAGGACGACGAGAAAGGGTTCTTACAGAGAGACAGATAACCGCGTGGAAGCGCGTCTTTATGCGCAGGTAGATGATTCGTCGACGACCGGTGTACGATTCATTCCTCCGCTTGTCTTTCTCTATCTCTTTCGCATTCTCGATGCGTTAAAACGGAGGCAGCAATCTTGGGGTGTGTGCGCGTTTGTAAACCGCCACGAGAGATGAAAAACGTCGATCAGTACCCCTTCGTGCATATTTTACGCGAGAGCGAGAGAGGATTGTGGCTTTTAATTTAATGTGATGTATCAGAAACGGCAGGTAGAAAATATACGACGGTCGCAAATTGTAAATTAATCCCATTATAAAATTATTCATCAGATTTAAGCCAAGAAATAATAAAAGAAATGTTAAGTCCTGTCAAGCGGTCAATAACATATGATCGCGTTTAAATATCAAGTTATTAAGATTTTATTATGAAATTTTACGAGAAGAATAACGCCGTCTTCTCATCTTTATTTCTTTTCTCACTTTCATTTCTGCGTTCAGAGTGTTTCTCTTTTATTACGAAATAACACACAAGCGAATTGGTTCAGATAGTATAAAGCATATATAAATCTATCAATTTACAAGTAAATGAATAGTAGATCATTTCTGCGCTCTCGCCAGAGAAGTCTCTCGCTTTCTTAAGATGTCGTAATACTGATCTTTTATTGTGATAGTATTTCACGATCTATCCGTTCTCGAATGACCTCATTTCATTGCCAATTTCAATTATGAGAAACACAAATAAAAGTAAAACTTTTTAAAAAGTAGCTTCAAACAAAAGTGTAACTCAATTTTCTGTATTTAGCGAAACAATAATATATATTTAGCAATACAAGTACTTTTTATAATAAAGCGAAAAGTTTACGAGTCACAAGAAGAGGGTTCGCGAGTCGCGTTGAAGTAAAGTATTGAAGAAGCATTTCTCGAAATCTCGGAATTTAAAATAACAACGTGAAAGTTTTTCGTCTTTATTTCGCGCCGTCCACATGACGGAATCACGAAGAGAACATCGCGTGCTTCTTCTTTCGCGGAAAGAAAATGGCAGGCGATCAAAATGCGATTCCACCGTTTGCACAGAGGGGACAGGGTGCTCCCGCAATCGCGAGCACACGCGCTCCAGCGCACACGTATAATTCACGAATGCACACGCACGCGTGTAAGTTTCCAGCGCGCGTGGGCGATGCTGTGGCACGCGACACGACCGTTACGTTCGGAACCGGCACCGTCGATCGCGACGCGGAAGAGGGGGTGAAATTCAGAAGGGGAACAGAAGGCGAATTGCAGCGCCCTCTACGCACGGGCACATACACAAGCGTATATCAGGTAGGGACACGAAACAGCCAACGCGATAACCACTCTCGCACAAAGAGCGAGAGAAAGAAGGCCGCGCAGTTCAGGTAGGCCGAACGGAAATTCGAATAAAAAACGCGAGTCGTCGCGTCCTCGTAGAGGGGTCTTAATGCATCTATACATACGCGCAACGCAAGCCCTGATATATGTATACATACATGCGTATAGAGGGGGTCTTCTAAGAGGGGTCACAGCATCTGCCTCATACAGAACAACATACACACATTGCAACTTGCTAAATGTATAAGAGAAAGAGAGAGGAAAAGAAACGCAGCGGAAGGAACATTGAAAAAAGAAGAACAGGCGCGGGCGCAGCGGACAATCGCGTCGCACTCACGACATCCTGCACCTCCCGTCAGCGCACAGCGACAGTGGGGGTCAGACGGTGGAACATATGCCCGGACGTTGATTGGTAGACGGCCCGCGACCGTCCGACCCTCATTGGCAGGCAGCGCGGGGCCCGCTGGCCCGTATTGGTTCGGCAGCACGTGCAGGCCACCTGCGAGTGTTTGGTGGGGAAATCGGTTATAAGAAGCCCAGGACAACCCCCTGCCAGTCAGATGCCGGCTTGCTGCCGAGACGTTCTGGATGAGGAGTTGTAACACATCTTCTTTGTTTTGCGCGCGTCTACATTTGAGAGTTTGATCAGTTATTTGAATTCGGACGAGCGTACAAGAAGTATCATTTTGTTTTATCCGAAAAACGAAGTGTATTTTCTCTTCTTCTAAAAGAAGAGACATTGAACTCAGGACTTTATGTGAAATAGTGCAGTGACGTTAACGCGCAGAAATCATCTTGCGAGGGTGTAATTATTAAATGTGACGGATATTTCGCTAAAAAACAAAAGCGAAAACAGAAGAACATCACGCAAGTGCTTTTACGAAATGCCACAGTGTTTGTAAAGAAATAGATAAGGAACATAAAATAAAAGTGGGCTTCGTAGTGTTGCGGCAATAAATAAGAACGCTATAAGTGTATTGTAGTGTCAAAATGCTTGTCGACGAGATGCCGCACATAAAAAAGAACAATCACAATTACAGTCATTGCCCGTTGAAAAAACGGCCGTTTTACTATACATCTGAGGATGGAGAAGAAACCGAGACTTCCGAAGTTAAAGGTGAGTGTCAAGAAATTATTCAGTTGTATGAGTTAAGATATATTTTGTGCTGTCTGTAGAATCTTAATACGTAGTATGTAGGATTTATTTTTGCTATATGTCTTTTTTTATTTTTTACTGCCATAAAAAAATACATATTATTTTTATTAAAAATAATATATATTTCTGTGAATATATATATTATTATTCACAGTAAATAACAAAAAAATGTCTTATATATATCTCTGTATAGATTTTAAATATTTATACTATTAAATTATATAATGTAAAAACAATTAAAAAAGAAAAAAATTTGAAAGAGAAAGATACATGTATATAATTTATACTAATTTTTTAAAATAATAATTTTAAAAAATATTCACAACAAGTGTTCTTTATTTCAAAGTTATGTCATCAGAACTAAAATATTAGAACATTTTTATTTAAAAAGTTGAAATTTACAAAACAGTTAGATTGTATTGTATTTTCTCTCATATTCTTTATTCTAATCTCATATTTCTACATTTGAATATTTGTTTTATATTTATCAATGTGTATCTTTCTGTGTGTTACAGAAGAGATAATTGATGTAGGTGTAGACGATATTCCCGAGCCTGAAAACCTTAGCACGAAACCGGAGGATCTCAGTAGAACCGCAGCAGATCGTCACCAACAAAAACAAGAAGAGCAAGAAGAATGCGCGTCCAGAACGCCACCACCGATCATCAAAGTCTTGCCGTCTCCACCGTTAACAATACAATCGTCTCCGCCACCTCATCATCCGATACATCACGTTCACGCGCTACATCATTATCACCATTATCCGACCAAGACTATCACGCCACCGGCGGGAATCGCGCCGATCCCTGTGGCGAAAAAAGCGCGAGTCGAGGTGATACAGCACAACGACAACTCGACGACGCCGACGGCGGGTATGACAGCGACGTCGGCACCACTGCATTTCATGGCAAGCAAGGCACCTCTGGAGCCATTGAATCTGAACACTCCGGTGGAACCGCTAGCCCATTACGCTACCCCGGCCTGGTCTCGCCCGCCGATATATCCGTCACACTATCTCTCGTATCCTGCACCTGCTTATCATCGCTATCCGGCAGAATTATACTCGTACCCCGTGGCGACGTATCCACATTCATCTCCGGAACATCATCCGTCAGTTTCGCCACCACCTCACACCGCACTTACTTGTCCAACAATTCAAAGACCAATCGCCAGGCCTTATTCTCACTGGTCCACCAGTCCGGATCATTGTGGTTTGTCACCCACAAGTTCCGTAGGATCGGGCTCGCTTCGATCTCCGCCTCCCGTAACTCCGGAAGATCTCTCCTCTCCCGGTAGTGACAGCGGTAGGTCGTCAGCGGGTAGCACTTCCGCCGGACATACGCTTGTAAACACGAAAATGGAAAAGAGCGGATCGAATGCTAGCCCGGGCACGTCATCGAGCACGACCGCGTCCAGGTATTCGTGTCCAGACTGCAACAAGTCGTATTCCACTTATTCGGGTTTATCGAAGCACCAGCAATACCACTGCTCCGCCGCGCAAGGCCAGGCAAAGAAGTCTTTCTCGTGCAAGTTCTGTCAGAAGGTGTATGTCAGTCTAGGCGCGCTCAAAATGCACATTCGCACGCACACGCTACCCTGCAAGTGCCACACATGCGGTAAAGCGTTCTCTCGACCATGGCTGCTTCAAGGTCACATCCGGACGCACACAGGCGAGAAGCCCTTCAGATGTCAACACTGCAATCGCGCGTTCGCCGACAGGAGCAACCTCAGGGCTCACCTGCAGACCCATAGCGACGTCAAGAAATATTCCTGCGACAGGTGCAGCAAGACCTTCAGCAGGATGTCGCTGCTTACAAAACATCAGGAAGGAGGTTGTCCTGGCGTTCCAGTATCGGTTGGTTATCCCTGTTAAAAGGTTTCGCGTTTGTGTGATCAGAACAATTTTTATGTGCGTTTGCTCGATTTTATTCCGCAAAGTTTCAAAGTGCCTTAGAATGCAGTACAAACAACGAGATATAGTGAAATCTATATGGTGAACTGTTCGCAAAATATCTTTTTTAATCTTTATGCTATTGATTGACTAGCTTTTTTTCTCAATTTTTATATCAAGATTTTTTTTCTCTTATTAAGAAATTTGTTTCTTCAACACTTGATTACGAAAATAATCAAATTTTACCGTATTAATTTTGATAACACAGAATGTCAGAAGAGTTAATACATTCACACATATTTTAGAATCATATCAAACTTTATTAAGAAATTAAATCGTCAAGTAGGTGTGTGTCGAAGAGTTTCGTGAGAGTTGGTTTCGTTTTTTTTTTTTTTTTCGTTGTAAATATTGATATACGAGTGTATGATGTATAACGAGTACATCGAAAGTATTCATTTCTTTTCATCAAATTCGATTTTGAATTATAGAAGAGAAACCTCTTTATATTCTATATTTATATATTCTGTATTTTTGTTCTAAAATTTGCAGTCAGTAATTGAGAAATGAATAGTTTTATGACTCGCTGTACGAGCGTGTTGACGATAATAGTACTTAGAGATTATATTTCGTCCTTCCGAGATAATCACTCACGTCGTACACGTGGAGAATATCGGAAATAACAAGTTGCTCGACTCACCGCATGATGCGGTCCCGTGAAACTATTGTGCCATTCCTCTTTCAGTTTGTAATTTTTTTTGTTCCGATGTACTCGAGCACATAAAACGCGATAAATTATTAAAATGACTAAAAACTGGAATTAGGACGATATGCACGTTTTTTTTTTTTTTTTTATTTTCTTCCTAAATTTTGTTTATTTTTCAGCGTGCGAGCGCATCGTTAGTATTAACAATATCGTCGCAACTCAACAATACTGATTTAGATCACTTAATCAGTTCTCGAGTGTTTACTTTAAATGCGTCTACGAGAAGAATATAGAGCTTTAGTAAAGATCTGTGTATTAAATAATGATTTTAAAAACCGCCAAAGTGCCATTTGCAAGAAAAAAAAAACAGTCGCGTAAAGTTACATGTGCTCGCACGTATTTTTATGTATACCGACTGTATATAGATTAGCGCTTATTAAGTAGTGAGTAAACACGCACAATACAAGTATTACCTATAAAAAATTTGTTTGCGTTAAGAACGGAGCTGGAGAGAAAAGAACTTATTTAACACACACGCGTGAGATAAAAAAAAAAAAAAAAAGTTCACGGCTCCGCGCGTCGCATTATTGTTTTCTGTATTTTGCGTTTTTGCAAATTCACTTTAAGTTTCTCGAAGAAGCTAGTCATTGTATATTATATACAGAGAGGAACGGATAACTCGCTATTGGTTATTATCGAAAAAATAAAACCAGAAGTGGAAAAAGTAGAATTTATTAGCGAGCCGTCGTTGCGAACTATTTTAATTTCTTACCGTGCGTGTAATTAGCAGCGCGGTTTACAGGCGAGTACCAGTTTTATATTTCTAGTTTTATAAAGAAAATATTATACACACAGAATACAGATATTGTCTATAAATATATATATATACAAAGATATTTTATACGAAATAAATTACATGGATTTTAAATTTTACATAATGTACAATATGTTAATACAAATCATTTATATCCTTTTTATTTCCAAATATTTTTCCTTCATTCATTATTTATAAAGCTCCGCAGTAACGACTAATGTTATTTATTATTATTTTCTATCTCTTTAAATTTATATTCCAAGATACAATTTTCGAATATTATCGTTTTTAATATTATTTAACATTATCTTGTACAAGATTACATAATTTTGTTAAGTTTCTTACACAGAACTTTCTTCTTATTGTCTGTTTAATAAAAAATCAATTAGATGTATCTATATACATAAACACGCTGACAGTTGTGGATTTTATAAACCATTGAATATTCGTTATTAAATTTGATAGTTATTAAGCTCGCGATCATCATAAGTTCTGTCTTCCGATGAACGATCGAGATATTTTTACGCGCTTACTCATTTGGAGTAAACAGTGCCCGCGATCGATGAAACACAGAAGTCTTTGTCGATAAACAGTAAGTATCGGCGATCGTACTTTGGCTTGAGAGACGAATCGATTTGATTTAAGACGACCACAGATAAATCCTATTTCATTTCGCACATTTATACACAACGCGCCGACTGCAGTAATATACACACTTAAGTAACACCTTATGAGGTCACGGCAAATAAATCTATCATTGATTTCGACAAGCCAATGTAATATTTCTATCACATTGACACACTCCCGCAATCATTGCCGTTTGCGTAATCGCTGAGAACAATGTTTACGACTGTGGAAAAGAATTCTTTCCGCGGTTCGTGAGCTCCATTCGTTGTTGCAATTCTACCTGGGTGGTCCGAACTGATCATGCGACGATCGAACAGGAATTGTAGATCCTTTCGATTTATCGAAGTCAGGACTCTTATCAATCTTCTGCGCAGTCAAATAACTTTCAAATAACTTTCCTCGAATCAAGATACTAGAGATTATAAGAATATAAATTTCAGAGAAACTACAGTAAAGTCTTTTTTTTTTTTTTATTGCTTTTAAACTTTCCTACAGTCAATCACACAATTTACGTTCAACACATATGATCCGCCGTCTTCTGGTTACGGCAATTAGAATTCCAACTTGCTTCATCATGCGAAAGTTAATCGATATACGTTAGCTCGCGTCTGGTGTGAATGCACGCGGATTAACCGGCAGGTTATCCAATTTCTTTGCACAATAAAGAATCGAGAGATCGTTCCGCGTCACGCGCAAGAGTATCTCTTTGCGTCGCGTGTTCATTCATACGTCCACGGCGTGTAACGCCGACACAAAGCTCTTTTAATGGAGCAAACAACATATGGCGAGCAAACGCGCGCGCGTTTCAATTCATTTCGTACGAAACGGGCTACCTGCACCGCGTATTAAGTCCCACGCGCCTCTATCACACACGCACTGTCGATTCAATCGGCCGTGGTGGCTCCAATCGAGCTTTTTGTTCGGTCGACTCGCCCATATGGGTGCCCGAGATCGTGCCGCGAGATCTCGTTCGCCCTTCTGACACCGTCGCATCGGTAATATACGAGTCGACCTGCTAAACACGCGTTTAATCGACGCTTCAGGGTGATAGATGTGTTTCGAGCAACATGTGTTTATCATTATACTTATCCAAAGTGCGTTTAATTATACGATGTATCGTGTAAAAGAGAAAGTAATGTTAACAGAGTTAGTCTTATTAGTCTCCGTCGGTTTTCTAATAATCTGCAATAGCTGCGTGTGGATATCTATATGCAGAGAAATATCTATTAACTGCGATTGTTTTTTTTTTTTTTTTTTTTCTATTTTTCTTACAATTATAGCAGACTTATAATCTTCGCAGACATTCGAATCTGTGGATTTTACACTTACGGTCTCATTGTGTAGTTAACCATCGTTATGCCTATAATTACGTATGACGGCCCATTGAACAGCGTCCTTTCGCTCGCGCACGACAGGTGCACGCGCCATTTTCGAGTATCCCCGGACAGACTCGCAGACCGCACTGTGTGTACACACACTCGTACAGAAACGCGCGGGCAAGCAAGAAAGTGTGGAAGCGAACGCTACCTTGGTCGCTTGGGCTTTTATGGCGACCGGTCCGATCGAACAGGTGCGTCAGAACGGATATACACATATATAAAACGCCAGGATAAAAGGTTCTATTATTCGTTTGTACATAGCAGCAAGCGAGGCTTTACACTATGCAAAGACTTTTGCGAGAGAAAAGCGACCGCGCGGCGACAAAAGGTCGCAACGTCGCTTACGAGCACAGCCGAGAATGGGGAGCTCACCTCAGCTACGAGATTTTTGGACAAAGCGAAGGGGGTCGAGGTCGGCCAGCGTCGACAAAAACGCCCCGCTGTCTCGTGAAATTCGCAGTGGCGACTTCGTTACTGAAATTATAATCGGATTGAGAATAATATCTTTTGATTGATACGAACCTCTTATCTGTTTTTTTTTTTTTTTTTATAGATATTTATTGTAAAGTTTCAAAAAATCAAAAATCTTATAATTTCGACATATTTTTATTATTTAGAAAACATCGTGGCGTATAATGTAAATACTTTTGCGTGGGGTTTCGTGCAATAACGATCTCACGACCTCTGACACGGTTGCTGAAGATTCAAGCTGACCCCGTAGAAGACTAGTCGTTCCTTTGGGATGTATAGCACACCTGATCAACGAGAGTCTTTCATCGCTTCCCGGAAGAATCGCGTCTTCTTGCAACCCTTTACGCCGTGGTGGTACGTGTCCCATTGTGTCAGCGAGGATCACCGCTGCCGGTTACACCAGGTGTTGTTAGTGCCCGTGCGTTTCTTCTTCGAGAAGCGTGATCGTCGATGATGCGGCGATCCGTGCATGAATTATATAGTCGTCGCCCTTATGAAATTCTCAGTCAGCTGGAAAGATTTAAGAACTGGATAAGTATTGAACGCGATCAGAATATAACGTATCAGATTTTATTTATTACGCGCGTAATTATAATATCGTTCTTTTTTCTAATTATTACACATATATATTTTTTCTAATTATTATATTATCATTAGCTAAATGCTAGCAGCATTGCTAAATCAATCATTTTATCAATACGGTATACATATATATATATTTTTTTAACGATTTGCACATCGTCATCATTCAATTATTATTGATTACATTCCTTTGACAACTTTATAGATCGCAATCGGTATAAATCGATTCAAAAAGCTGATAGATTGTAAAAAAATAATGAGATGAAAGAAGCGGCTGTGCGTATAATATTTATTGCCGTGTTCGTATTGATTCGAGATAACCTCGATACGAAAGCTATTCGTTACTTTATATCTTGACTGATCTAAATGGCGATACGGTTCGGTGGTCTGTCGAAAAATTTTCGACCACAGTAGTCTATGTGTCAGTAAGATCATTTTGATATATTATCCGTCAATTAAATTTATTTAATTTTGTAGTGTATCAATAAAAAATTATATATTTCTCACGTTTTATTTCAATTTATATTTTAATATTGCTTAAATGATTTTATAAATCGCTGGTAAATTTTATTTTTGCTCTTGCGTGCAACTGTTTAAAAATTGTCAAAGAAATCGAAAAAGTTCGTACGTGGGCGGGCTATTGAGAAACCTAAAATCCGAGACGCTACATTAGTAACAAATAGACATAAATATGTATTTTATTTCACAGTAGCGATGAGATGATCAGAAAAGTGGCGAAAGATATC